GTTTCACAGCAGACTTTTGTGTCCTGACAGAGACGCACCTCACACTAGACCGACATGGGGATGTTCGGAAAAAGTTCCAGAAGAGTGGCTGGAAGACATACGTCTGCCCAGCCGCACCCACCGCTCAGGGAAGCCAAGGCGGGATCCTTCTTGGGGTTCGATCTCACCTTTCTTCCCACGCTCGGGTCATGGGAGCCAAGGGCTACATCAAGCCTCTTGCTATAGGGACCCGATGGACCAGTTGCATTATCAAACCCGATGGGGTGAATTTCTTGGTTGTCGCCGTATATCTGATTTCAGGGGTTGGGATGAACCAAGCAAATCGTGATATCGTCACGGAATTCACCACCCACATGCGCACGCAGAAGCTCCCCTATCTCATCGCGGGGGACTGGAATGTTGTTCCTGAAGATTTGGAGAAACCCATGAAGTGGCTTTCCTGGGTACGTGGGGTCGTGGTTGCCCCAGAAAATACGACGTGGACGTGCTCGAATGGGCATCGCATGCTGGACTAGTTTGTGGTCGACCACCGTCTTGCCCTCGACACCTCCCTCACGGCAGTCCTGGGGGGCTCGTGGAGACCGCACCTAGGCGTGGCAGGTGTTCTGGCGCGCGCAGTAGCTCAGAAGGAGATTTTGGCATGCAGTCGGGCCTCCCCTCTCCCCAAAGAATACTCTGGGGCTAAACACTCTTGGGAATGCTATTGCGAGAGGGCGGAGGAGGAGGAGGAGGAGAACATGAACCTCATACCCACCTACCCCGTCTGTGCCCAGCATGTCAGCAAGCAGATTACCCGAGATTACGCCATCTTGAGTCGTGCCCTGGAGCTGCAGGAAACCCACAACAAGTTGGGGTTCCAGTCCGCGCCGCAGCGAGGTCAGTGTGCGCAACTGTTCAGGCGCCCCCTGCTGCCGCCAGCGCCCCAGACGGGGCTGGCCACCAGCGACGCAAACCGGTGGCAGGTGATCGTCGCACGCGTGCAGGATCGTGATCATTTCCTGCGACGCCCTGGGCCCCGTGCACAAGTTTTCGCACTGCAGGCTCTCTTGAACAGAATTATTCCCGATATTAGATGGCCAGAATATGTCGACCCCGAGATTAAACATGTCTTCCTCGAGTATTTCACAGGCCAGTTCTCGGACCTAGAGGTTTTCGGAGCCAATTTTCTGATTGGGGCTGGGCAGACTCTCGGGGATTATCTTGAACAGATACCTCAGAATTTCCAGAAGAAAGCAAATCAGGCGTCTCGGAAGGCTTTCCAGGAGTGGATCGAGGAGGACCTTAAGAAAGGAGGTAAGATCTCACATGCCATCACCAAGGGCACCCCTCCCGCTCCTGAAGAACAAGACGTGGTACCTCTTAACGGGGCCCTCTCCGATGACCCCATCCTTATCACGCAGCATAAGCTCACCTATTGGGAGAAATACTGGAGCCCAAAGGGACCTCGCCAGTGTCCTGAAGATCCTCCCTGGCTCCAAGAGCTCCGAAGAGTTGCCCAGCAGCGTGCTGCCCAGGAGCCCGATTGGACTGAAGCCGAAGTGTTTGAAGTTGTTCGGAGGTACAGCCCTAGCTCTGCAAGAGGCGCTGACTTGCGGCACCCGCGCGAGCTCGACGCCCTGCCGCCCGAGGGCAAGACTGCCTTCACCGACCTGATCAATCAGGTTCGGACGACTTTTAAGTGTCCCGCGCAGGTGCTACTCAACATGGTTCGTATCTTCCCTAAGAATATCGAATCCGATCGGCCCATTGCACATGCCAACAGTGCCTATCGGATTCTAGTCAAGTTGCACCGCCCAGGCCTCGCAGCGTGGGATTCAAACAGAGCAGGATTTTGGGATGAGGCCATCCGAGGATCATCGTGCCTCCGAGCAGCCCATTTGAGTGAAGTGACAGCGGAGCTGGTCACCAGTTTGCAGATACCGCTAGCAGAGGCATTGATTGACATCGAAAAGTTTTTTCGACACCATTTGTACGGAGTGCGTCTGCGGGATGGCCATCAGCCTTGAGTATCCCACCATCCCGCTTATGCGCGCCATGATAGTTCATCAAGCAGCCAGGTTCTTGTCATCTGCCTCTCTAGGGTGCTCGTCGCCCACGTGTCCGACTGGCAGTGTCCTGCAAGGCTGCACCCAGTCAACATCTTTAGCCCGGGCATTTCTGTTTAACATCTGGGAAGAATTACACTATCAGTTTCCACGAGTTCGTTTTCGTACCTGGGTTGACGACCTGAGGTTGCGAGTTTGGGGCTCGTCTAAGGAGATCCTGGAGGTGGTTCCAGAGGCAATGGCGTTCCTGGGCAAGAAGCTCGAGGCCCACGGTTGCAAGCTCTCGCCCAAATCTTGTGTTCTCGCGTCGGTGCCTGGGCTGAGCGTCGAACTCAGCGAGCGCACCAAGGAGCTGGGGTGGGCCGTCAAGACCAGTGTCCAGGGGAGGGACCTCGGCCTGGACACTACCTTGGGGCTTCGGAGGCGTTTGAAGATTCGGAAGGAACGCTTCAAGAAGGGCCTCCAGAGGCTCAACGGGATCACCAACCTCACCAGGACCGCCAAGAAGAGTCGGAGGCTGGTCAACACGGGGGCCCGTCCACAGCTCTTTTGGGGCCAACAGGGGCAAGGTATTGCGCCGACAGTACTCGAGCAAGTTCGGGGACGACTTGCCCGGGGGCTCGGATATGCTCCCAAGTATGGATGCACGACCGCAGGCTTTGCTTTGTCAGCACGGGGACAGCAGCAGGAGGATCCTGCGCACTACCTCCCCATGCAAGTTGTCAAGACCTGGTCCGACATGGTCAACCAGAATCCAGAGTTGCACAACGCGATAGGAAAAATATGGTCTCCTACAGTGGCACGTCTGGCAAGTAAGACCCGATGGAGTAAGGTTACCTCCCTCTTCTCCGCGCTCATTGCCACCCTCCATGACCTAGGAGTGTACATGGTGGGGCCCTGGGGGTGGATCCTTCCCGACGATCAACTGTAAAAACTCGTTCCTGGACATCTCAGAGCCCAGACGGCCTTCCTGGGCGACTTCAGTGAATACGTGTCTCGGGTTCTCTGGGAAAGGGCCTCGCAATTCCATCTCGGAGGGGGGGCTGAGTTTGGAATCGACGCGTTCCAGTTTCAGAAGACCTATCGGAAGCTTCGGAAGGATAACCAGCCCATCCGAGCCAAAGCCCTCCAAGCCCTCGGGAAGGCCTCGATCTGGACCAACGCCCGAGTACACGAATGTAAACCAAGCCAGCCAGCGCGATGTGCCAGGTGTGGAGCACGAGTGGAGGATGACCTTCACCGCCTTTGGACATGCCCAGCGCACGTGCGCAGTACCGATGAAGCAGTCCTCGACTCCCAGCACCTCATCCAGAAGGCTATTGATGAGTTCCCCTCCTACCCAGTGAAGTGGGGACGAGGACTGCAACCAGCTGATTTTACGACAGGACGCCTGGACCAACATCCACCCAGAGCCACCCTCGGAGCCACGGGGACCTTCATGATCCAAGGGGGCCCCATCAAGGGCAAGTTTTTGGTGGGGACCGACGCTGGAGGAGGAAGGTTTCCGAATGATGCGAGGCTGAGGAGAGTTGGCTGGGGGGTCGCAGTTAAAGATGCCGGCCTCGAGACCATAGGAACTTTAAGAGGAGGCCTGCCAGGGAAACAGACGGTCAACCGCGGAGAGCTCTACGCGGCAGTCAAAGCCGTCCAGAACCTAGCAGGTGAGATCACCATCGTGACAGACTCAGCATATGTATATCGTGGAGTTTTACGAAGGCCCCTCTGGCAGCACAAATGTTATGTAGACTTGTGGGAGGAGTTCTGGGGGGCCCATCAGAGCTTTGACGGGATCATGGAGTTCCACAAGACCAAGTCCCACCCCACGGAGAATGATTTCTGGGATTACAACATCCAGCCCTGGGCGTATCTGGCAAACCAGTTGGCAGACCAGGTAGCAACTGATGCAGCAGCGCGAGTCCAGCTTCCTGATTGGGTGACCCGCCCGTCTTAGAAGCCGACCACGAAGTAGCTCATCCAGAATCGAATTGCCGCTGTCCAGGAGTTGTTCTGGGAAGTTTTCCCTGCCCCGCCACCTGCTCCCAAGAAGCGGGGACGGGTTAAGGCCCCCAAAAAGTGGGGCCATGCCCAGCATGTGTTGAAAGACGTTCCCGAGGGCCTGCGGTGCAAAATATGTTTCAGGTATCAGATTCGCGGTACCAAGGAGTCCTGGCTCGGGTCCCCATGCACCCCGAATCATGCCCAGTGGTTTCACACGTCTCACCTCCCACACCTCCACGTCATCCGGGGGTCGCATTTTGCAGCAGGTGTGGGGGGGTGTCGTCAACTCGAGCCGTTAAGCTGAAGGAACCATGCCTCCCCCCCACAAGTACGGGGAAGAAGGCGAGGTCACGGCTGCTGCGTGGACTGCTGCCGCAAGGACTGCAGCAGTGGCCGAGCACCCTCGCCGCCAGGTCGCAGGAGGACTGCGCGCGGGCGTTAGGGGTGCCAGGCCACAGGATCTCACAATGAGGTCCCGAGCGGGCCCGAGGAGCGCTCGGACTCCCCTTAGGAGCATGCAACATGCAACATGGAGGAGGAGGAGGAGGAGGAGGAGGAGGAGGAGAAAGACGAGGGGGAGGGGGAGGAGGTGGGATGGGAGTTGGGGCAGGAGGTGCGAAGGAGGAGGGAGAGGAGAAGGAGGAGGAGGAGGAGGAGGAGGACGAGGAGGAGGAGGAGGGGGAGGAGGAGGAGGAGGAGGAGGAGGAGGAGGAGGAGGAGGAGGAGGAGGAAGAGCAGGAGGAGGAGGAGGAGTAGGAGTGTCGCGCTGCCGGTTCTGGCCGACGACGCCTCGGCGCGACACGCTAATTAACCCCTTCCAGAACCCCAGGTGGTCGAGGGTTTTTTGTTGCCCCATGGGCATCAGGCCGCCCGGCCACGCATTGAGAGACAACACGGTTTGGCCAACGCAGCTGCTGGCTGACTGCCAACATCGGAGGAAGGCTTGGGCGCAAGCGGATGCTTCATGCGGCAGTGGCAGGGGATTCGGTCTGGATGTCTTCGCCTTCTCTCTCTCCACCTCGCGTCCTTCTCTTCCTCCTTCTCCTCCTCCTCCTCCTCCTCCTCCTCCTCCTCCTCCTCCTCCTCTTCCTCCTCACGGCAAGGCCTTGGGTGGGGCCGAGGAGGACAAGCACCCGCTTCAGCAGCAGGACGGACCTTCGACCGAGTGTGCCTCTCGGCCTCCTCTCCCACGGAGCGGAACGCCTGCCCTGCAGGCTCGGCCGTCCGCCGCTCGCGGCCGCCGCCGCCGCACTCTTCGCCGCCGCCGTCGCGGGCACCGTCGCCGTCGTCGTCGCGGCTCCCGCGTATCGGGTCGGGCGAAAGGGGGGGATTGGGAAAGGGGGGGTTGCGAAATTTGCTGCATGCAGCTGGTTTCGGCCTCGCCGAGGGGCCCATTCCTCGATACATGGCCGCTCCCGGCGCCGGGAGGCGCCGGGAAAATCAGCTACGTGAGCTGATTCTCAAACCCCCCCTTTGCATTCCCCCCCTTTCGCCCGACCCGATCGGTGCGGTCAGGACGGCCGCGGGCGGGCGAGGCTAACACCGGCTGGGCGTGAGCCTGGGGGCGGCCAGGGCCCGCGGGAGAGTCTCGGTTGCCCCCAAGCTCGGCGGCGAGTGAGGGGGGGAAGTGATGAGTCGGAAACCGGAGCATATACATTACCAGTGGCGGGCGGTTGTTCAATCCCTGGGTTTTTTTGAGGGTCGGGGACGACGTCGGTTGATGTTGTGTATATTTTTTCCCCCGTTTTCCTGGGGAAACAAAGAAGAATGTATACACCAGGATCCCGTATACACCAGGATCCGTTTCCCTGTGCGAGATTCAGTGTGAGGCCAGACAAAGGCGTCGGTGTATAGAGTTCGGTTCCCTGATAAGGAGGAGGCCTTCTCAGAAGGCGGCGGGGAGCTTCTCCGAAGCGCTCACGTCTTCTGAGAGTTTCCCTGTGTCTTCGTTGAAGGCTTATGACATTTTCAGAGGGCTGGGAAACTCCCGAGCCTTCTGAGAAAGCCCACCCCTTCTCACTTCCCCCCCCTGGGCGCGCCGCCGACCAACGATGCGGTGAACGCCCCGTGTGGTGAGTCAGTGGGAAGCCCAGGTTCTCGGACGTGTTGGTCGGTTCCTGCGGGTTTTCCTGTCTCGGGATGCGCTCCAGGAGCTGTGCCTCGCCGGGAGCGCGCCTGGGGTGCCTGGATCGTCACGAACGGCCGCCGGAGACCCGAGCTGTGGCCCAGAGACCAAGCTCTCCGAGGAGGGCCAATGTGGTGAGTCGGTGGAGATTCGAGGCGACCGCTCGGTTTTGGGACTCGGGTTCTTCTCCGGGGATGTCTTGGGCGATTTGGGCCGGAGCAGGGAGAACGGGGGAGGAGGGGGGATGGAGGGTAGGAGCAGGAGGGGAGGGGCTTCCTCCTCCTGCTCCTCCTCCTCGTCATCCTTCTTCTCCTCCTCCTCCTCCTTCTCCTCCTCCTCCTAGGCCTCCTCAGGCTGGGGGCCTGGTTTTGGATTGACTGTGAGTTTTCTGCAGTTCGGCAGCTTACTCATTCAGCCCAGGAGTGCTCAAGACTAGTTGTAGGGAGTCGTAGATATTATCTTGATCAGAATTATCGTGGGGTTTGGCCGCACACAAGAAACATCACCCACGTGCTTCAAGGTTTTGCTGTTTCCCGACCTCCTCCTCCCACGTGTTCGATTGATGTATGGCTTTTATATTAATTTGAGCCCGACCCGGTTGGGAGAGTTCACCGTCCTCCAGCCTCCTCTTTCCCCTCACTCTCCAACCTCCTTTCCTACACCTTAGGCGATGCTTAAGAAAACCTAAGTTTTCGGCCAGAGTCTCGATTATTCTTAACTTTTCAGTGTAAATCCCGAGATGTTGATAGAAGTTCTGGGTTTTATTCAAGTTCTGAGACGATGAATTTCTTAACCCATGATTTCTTAAGCATTTCGCAGGGTGTACTCCTCCACCTCCTCAACTGTCGCACCTTAGGAGGGGTGGTATGTGTGTGTGGGCGATTCGCACTGCGTTGTTTGGCAGCCCCCAGGCTGGGTAGTAGCCTAATCAGGCACGTGCATGCGCATCCTTGCTCGCGTGCAACTTGTTGCTCGCTTCCTCATCATCTCCCTCGTTGCCTGGGAAGCTTCAGTGAATTTGGCTTATCTAGGTTGGCATGCACCCTTCTCGCCCAGTCTGCGTCGGGCCAGCTCGGCTTCTGACGGCATAGTGTCGTAGTTGTTGGTCGCCCTTCGTAACTTTTAGAACGCGGATTGCGTCGTAGATCCGTGGCAATTGTCTCGGCTTACGATGTTGGGCGCCAGGCCGTTGTGGAGGCGAAGAAAGGCGCGACGCACTAAACTTCGCATAGATATGGTGTAGTTATGGCGGTGGCAGTGAATTAGGCGTGCCCTCCCGCAGCATGAGCTGGGGACGAGGAGAGGGAGAGCTATCAAGATTTGATCTCCCAGTCTTAGCTATTCCTACCGTGGGCTCAATTCCCCATGCACGAGGAATAAGAGGGTCAGGAAGGAGGAGGGGGGATATGTAGGCGAAGGGAGGAGGTATAAGAAAACGGATGCTGAGGATGAGGGGAGCACGAGGAGGAGGAGGAGACATAATGGGCAGGGGGAGCAGGAGGAGGAGAAGGAGGAGGAGGAGGAGGGGGAGAAGGGGGGGAGGGGGAGGAGAGGGAGGAGGAGGAGGAGGAGGAGGAGGAGGAGGAGGAGGAGGAGGAGGAAGGCGGATCCCACAAGCACCTAACAAAAGCACCTGGCAGGCCAGCTCAGGTCAGGATCTTTGTACTGAGCACGTGTAGCGCGCTTCCTCTCGTTCGGTCTTTGGTGATTACGGTGTCCTTCGTCTCGTGTGGGGGAAGAGAAGTTCTGAGAAGGGGGAGGAGGAGCAGGGCGATGAGGGAGAATTGTTCCTTCCTGCCCTCATGGGCAACGTCCCCTCCTTCTATCCTTCCTGCTGGCCCCCTGGCCCTTCATCCTTCTCTGGCGGCGGGCTTGTCTGTGCTGCACCGCCAAGTCCAACTTCATCGGGTACGCTGTCGCGTCTGGCCGTGTGCGCTGGGCGCGCAGCAGCGGGCGCCACCTCAGGGGGGGGGGGGGGAGAATTAACGACGAGGGGTCCGAGGAGGGGCATACTGAGCAGGAGGACTGATGAGGAGGCTACTGAGATTGCGGACCTGAAGGCGAAGGAAGAGGACCTCGAACGACATATGATCGGGGGGGGGTGTCGAGGCGCACGAGGACGAGGAGGAGGAGGAGGAGGAGGAGGAGGGCAAAGAGGAAAGAGAGGAGAAGGAGGAAGAGGAGGAGGAGGAGGAGGAGGGCGAGGAGGAGGGAGAGGACGAGAAGGAGGAGGAAGAGGAGGAGGAGGAGGAGGAGAACGAGGAGCGGAAGCGGAGGTCGAAGGGGAAGAGGAGGAGGAGGAGGACGAGGATGTTCAGGAGGAAGATGACTACGAAGAGATGGAGGGCGAGGAGCAGGAAACAAATCGCGACGAGGGAACAGTGCGCAGCAGTTGCCCCCCCCTCACTCTTTCTTCCCATGCTCTTCTCCTTATCCCCTCTCCGCCCAGCCTCCTTCTCCTCATTACCCCCACCCCACCCCACCTTCCCCTGGCGCTCCTCATCTCCTTCCTCCCTTATTTCCTCCTCCTCCTCCTCCTCCTCCTCGTCCTCTTGCCCCTCCCTCTCCTCCCCCAGGAGGAGGGTGGGGGAGCGCGAGGGGGGAAGGAAGGAGGGAGGGAGGAGGAGGTGGTGGTGGAGGAGGAGGAGGAGGAGAAGGAAGAGGAGGAGGAGGAGGAGGAGGAGGGGGGAGGAGGATGAGGAGGAGGAGGAGGAGGCGGAGGAGGAGGAGGCGGAGGAGGAGGAGGAGGAAGGAGGAGGAAGAGGAGGGGGAGGAGGAGGATGAGGAGGCGGCGGGGGAGGAGTGGATGGCTGCGACTGACAGCTTCAATTGAATTATACACGTGTTCCACGGGCAATCTTCCAATCCCCACACACACACACGCGCGCGCGCACACACACACACTCGGCGCCGCAGGCATGACGCCTAACATGTCTGCTACGACTGCTCTTTTGCCATTTCGAATCCTGGGGCTCGGCTCTGGTCGCTCACCGCACTGAGGCGCATCCAGCATATGACAAGACCAGTGAATATGCTCCAGGGCCAGAGTGCGTGGCCTGGTGCAGAAGCTTCAACGCAATAGACAGACTACTGCGCCATCTTGGACACGGATCTAAGCATTGCCTTCCCCGTTTGTGCGAAAAGCTCAAGGCGATCACAACAGAGGCCGTTACGGCCCCGGCGAATGATCATCTCCAGACCGCACAGAGCCTGTCCCGTAAATGTACAGCTGCTGGTTTTGCCGAAGCTCCACCGAGTAAGATCGGTGGACCTACGTTGTTAAGAGTCCAGGTCTGGCAAGGCCCAGCAAGTACAGAACATGTCAGCACATCGTTTCAGAGTGAGCGGCTTTGAGGATGTGCATACAGAGTCTGACGGCAACTCCCTAGGAATCCTAGCTCCAACAACAATCCAATGTAGTTATATGTCGCATGTAAGGCACAAGGCTAGTAGAGATGACATTAGTGCTTATAGTTGCACCAACCTCGACGATATTGGTGCTCCCACTACCAGCGTTTCGAAGCTATGATTTTTGTCGCTGGCCTTTTTTGATGTGGTTATGTGTAACGTTGTCTTTGTTTTCCTCCCAGGAGATGAGGTCACGAGGACCCTGGAGTATCCCTTGGGGCGTCCATGGGTCAAAGGTCCGTAACAGAAATGCCTCAATGTCAACCAGTGTCTGATGATGTCTCCAACCTTGGCGGTTGCGTCTTCTGTCGCGGGGGTCCGGTTTGTCCTTAAAGCTGTATGGCCATCCTCACATGTCCCATCCATATGGGCGTTGCCTGAAATCCGCCATCTACTCCAAAGCAGTGGAAAAAGGCAGACGCTGAGCTGCAACTGGTTGCTGTTTCCCCAGTGCCGCGCCGTCCATGCCTTCGGCCTTTGCTACCAACATTGGAGCAAAGCAGATCTGGTCTGCTTGAGTTATCAGCTGCGGAAGCTTCGATGAGAGGATGGTGGCATGCGTATACAGGATTATGTCTGACATTAAACTTGCAACTGGCGATGGCGCTGACCTGATGGGCCCCACCCTTTTGCTCTTTCTGTTTCCCCTGGATCCATTCCGGTGCCCTTGGCCAAATGGTTGGGTCCCACCGGCCAGACATCGAGGCGAATCCTCCTTCCTCCCTCCCCTGCCTTCACATCTTCTTGTGCATGGCTTCTCGCGTGCATAATTTGTGACGCTGAGACCCTTGCCGCCCCTAGTGTCGTTGGCAGCAGGCAGGGGAGGAGGATGACATTGAGGAGAAGAAGGACGGGAAGGAGGAGGAGGAGGAGCAGGAGGAGAAGAAGGATGAGGGGGATGTGAAGGAGGAAGAGGGGGAGGAGGATGGGATAGTTTCGTTTGACATCTTGAACAGCCAACAGCTCACAGCTCACAGGAGGAGGGGGACGAGGACAAGGACGAGGAG